AGGGAGGGAGGGATGCCCTCCAGTTGGGGCAGTTCTAGCACTCCAGGCCCATGTGTGTCTGCTCTCTCCTGCAGGCATGCTGGCCAGTCTGGTGGAGCAGAACATCTCGGTCCGCAGGCGGCAGGGAGTCAGCATCGGGCGCCTGCACAAGCAGAGGAAGCCGGACCGCCGGAAACGCTCCCGCCCGTACAAAGCCAAGCGGCAGTAGCCAGGGGGCCAAGACTGTGAGAAGCAGCAGCTGGGCTTTGTGCCTTTGGGCAATGGCACTTGGATCTGTGACCCTTTGCCCAAGGAAGAGGGACCACAGTGACAAGCCCTTGGCTGAGGTGGAGCCTGAGGACAAAGAGAAATCGGGTTTTCCTCTGCACCTGAGCTGTGAAAGGCAGGAACATGTCTCAAGAAGTCCCCACAACAGGAGGCAGTCCTGAGGGCCCAACTTCCTGAACATGCCACAGCAGGGCCCAGGTGTTGTGAGCCTGTGTCTCAGCGCCATGGCTGAGGACTGTGACAGGAGGGGAAGAGCCCATCCAGCTGGTGGTGGATCTGGTGTTGTGGGAATGCTGGCAACGCCCACGTGAGGCTCTGCTGGCCGCAGCTGGCTGTGGCTTGTGTCCTCCTGCATCCAGGCCTTCAGCTCTGTGCTTCCCTGGGACATCCTTGCCTGTGTTTTCTATCCTCCCTCCCTTTCCCAAACTCATGTTTGGTCCTAACGCAGGCTTTGGCCATTCTGAGCAAGGTGGCTCCTGGACAGAGCCCCTTCTGCACCTGCCCTGCCCAGTGCTGGCCAGGCTCCTGGGGATGGTGGCACCCTCAAGTGTATCTGGGCTCCCTGGTGGGCCATGGCAGCTCTGTTGCTAGACGAGGATGGGTGGGCTCATCCTTGGAGTGGGGCTTTTGTCTCAGCAATCCATGGTGGTGTTGAGGGTGGCCAGTGGTTCTGCTGCCATGGCTGCTCTTCTCGGGACCAGCTCCATGGCCCTGGCAGTGCCTGTGGGTCATGTGGGGCTGCTCCAGGCCCAATCCCCAGAGAAACTCCGAGAATCATGGAACAGACCAGGTTCACAGGGCAACCTCTGTGCTGCTGGGCATGGTGCCAGGGTGGACGCTGGATGTGGAGTTTCTTGGTAAAGCCTCGCAGCAGGGGGAGAGGCAGCTGGTTGTAGTAATGGTAGAGGTGGGATGGGGACAACAGTGGCAGGTGGAAGTCCCTGGCTGGCTGCTAACCCAGAGCTTGCTGGTGTGGCCTAGCTGCTGATCACCCACTGCCTCCTGCCAGTGCTCCAGCATGTGGGCTGCTGCCTGTCCCCAGCAGCCTGGAAGAAGTCTGAGCTGTCAGAGGTGAACATCACTCTCCAGAGGAGTCCTGAGGCAGTTGCCAGAAGAGGAGAGGACTGAATTTTCAAAAAAATGTACAGGTCTTGACTATGGAATGAAACAGTTCAGCGTCCTGAGGCAGAGTTGCCACAAGAGGACTGAATTTTCAAAAAAATGTACAGGTCTTGACTATGGAATGAAACAGTTCTTTTGGTATTTGTTGAAGGAAAGAAAATCCTTCTGTCTCTTGCTGTGTCTAATATCAAGTGCTGTAAATAATGGATCTGTCTGATGGAATAAAGCTATCCTGTAACAGCCAGCCAAGGGTGAGGGGTGTGTGAGGTAAGGGAGGGGCATGTGTGTGGCTCAGAGAACTGAGTGCCAGCTCTAGGCCGTTGTTGTCCCTGGTGGCAGCTGAGGTAATTGTGGGGAGTGCAGCACCACCAGGTGCCTGGGATGCTCCTGAATTTAAGCTCAATTTGTTGACGTAGGAGAGGAGGGGGATGGCTGCAGGACCATGGTGCCCTGGCTCAGGCCCTCAGCTGCGAGGGGTTCCTGGCTAGGTGGGTTTCCTGGCTAGAAGTCCAGGGCACAGATCAAGGCTGTGCCCCGTTTGATCCAGTGCTTCTGCGGCTTGTCCGTAGGGATCTCCACGGCAATCACATAGTTGGTGGAGTGGCCTGTTGTTGACAGTGTGCCTGTAATGGGGAAGTAAGGGCAAGAGGGTAGTGCTTCTGCACACTCGACTGGGCAGTCCCAGACAAGTGACCCCATGCAGGACCCTCTGTCCCGACCTTGAACAGGCTGAGCAGGGCTGGGGAAACAGGGGCTTGAGGAGAGCCTGGCCAGAGGCACTGCTGCATACCAGGGTGCCTGGCTGCTCTGTCTCCACAGCCACAGCAGGACAAATCTTTTTCTCCCTGCATGGCCTCAGCCAAAAGTGCCTTACTCCATAGCAGCAGAAGAAACTGCTGCCTCTCCTGGGTGGGCCTTGCTTCTGGAGATCTGCCTTTAGGGCACCTACCTGCACGAGTGAGAGTCTTATAGATGGGGCACAGGTAGATGCCTGTGGTTGGAGGCTTGCGGCTGGGGACAGGCAGCAGCCAGATGACAGCCATCTCTGTGTAGAGCTCCTTGGGGCGCGACTCTGCCAGCTGACACGCAGCAGGGTCCCAGCGGGCACCTTCCAGGAACAAGCCGTAGATGTAGCAGCCTGCATCAGGCTGGCGCGTCAGCTCCCTCACCGACTCCTTCATGACCTGCCGAGGGGAGTGGGCATGGGGCCCTTGGTCAAGGCATGTCCCTGAGGGCTCAGCCCCAAGGCCCCTCTTAAGCTGCTCTTAGTTAAGCCAGTGCTGCCAAAGGGGAGCCTGCCCCAGCACTCAGGGTGGGTGGGCTGGCTTTTCTGGCAGCTCACATCATGCGAGGCAGCCTGGGATAGAGCTGGTGCAGAGGGATGTGAGCAGGTCTGCTCAGGCAGGGAAGCCTCTGCCAGCTTTGTAGAGGTGTCTGGCAGTGTGGGTGGGTATATCTGAGCACAAAGGGGATGATGAGTCCATGAGCAGCTGTTGGCTTCACCTCTTGGCCAGGTCAGGGTTAGAACTGCTGCCTTTGTGGCCTAGCACCAGATTCCAAAAAAATCCAGAACCTCCACCTGACTTACTGACCTTGAAGCTAAATGAGATGGTGTCGATGGAGATGACGGACTTCCTGGCAAAGTTCTGCAGCGTCCCAGTGAGGAAGGCCTGGGGAAAGAAGAACCCACTGATCCAGAACACAGAGGGGGTCCCATGGCTGATCCATTTCTGCAGGAATTCAATCCGCTGCACCAAGTCATTCACCCAGGATGCCAAGGGCTTCAGCGACGGGTAGGCCTGTGGGGCAGCCACAGAGGGAGGTGCTGAATGCAGCCAAGGACAGCCTAGACCTTGTGCTCTAGTTGCTGACAGCTGTCCAGAGCTCTATGGCTGGGAACAACTGGGAGCTGCACTAGGCAGGAGACATCTCTGTGCCAGAGGAGCACTAGACAGCTCCATGTGGGATAGCTCAGTCCAACAGTGGTGGCTGATGACCCTTGGCTCAGCTGGCAGGCAGCTGAGGCACATACCTTGGCATTCCACATCTCGGGGACAGTGTTGTTGTACAAGCTGCTGGCCATCACCTCCAGCGCAGAGGACATCACAACCAGGCCCTTGAGAGCTTTCAGCAAATCCTTCAGACTTTTAGCAACTACTTCCAGGAGCCTGTTGTACCTACAGGGAAAGCGCAGAGGGAGCCAAGTGACTCCATGCAGTGATTTATCACCCACATCTGCCCAGAGAGGGTATGGATCTCGGTACATGAGTGAAGCTCCTCCATGTAACCCCCAGCCCCGTTCCACTTCAACAGGGTCTCATAGCTTCTCCCCAGTGCTGAATTGCAAATGGAGACACAGATCAGTCCCTACAGGATGGGGATCAGTTGAAGGCCCTGGCTTGGACAGCATAGCACAGCTGCCAGCCCCACTGCCATGCTCAGCACTGAGGTGGGTGGGAGCAGGGCCCTGCATGTCTCTGTTGTTCCCCAGGATGTGATCCCACAGGGGTTTTACCTGATCACCTCCTGCACCAGCACAGTGTTCATGGACTCTTCGTAGAGCAGTGGATATTTGTGGATCACCTCCTGCAGGTTCATGGGTGCAGGCAGCTTTGCCAGAATGTCCTCGGAGATTTGCTCCACAAGCTGTAAGTAAGGCAACAAGTGGGTGAGCATCCTTCTACTCCAGCTTCATATCTGGTGAGAAGGATGAAGAGCTAACACCACGATGGCAGTGCCATTGCTGTCACTCAGCAGGCAGGGTGGCACCTGTTGAGAGCTGGTGTTCATGCTCACTGCCTGTGCTGGGCACCTACCTCTTCCCTGCTGTGGCCTCCCACTGTAATGGTCTTGGGTTGCAGCTGTGTAATGGCCCCCAGCAGAGCAAAGGTCTCGTTCTGAGCAAAGGTGATGTTGGCATTGTCATGTAAACCAAAGAGCTCTGGGCTGTCATTGAGGGGAAGGCCCTTAATGTATTGGAGGTAGCCCTGGAGAAGAATCCACACAGGCTGTGAGACAAAGAGTAGCTGAAGATCCCTGGGTTCTTACAAACCTATATTCCCCCAGGGAACTGGAAATGAATGCAGTGGGTTTCAGGGATGAGTAGATCCCCTTTACACTATGAATGATGTTCTCCTTGGATCTATGAGCTGCAATTTGTGACTTGAGTACTTACATCGAGGTCAGAAGAGGGACTGATCTGCTTGTAGATGCCGGATTCAGAGTAGGCAAACTCAGGATTTAAAACCTCAGGCTTGTAGAAATCTTCCAAAATACTCATGATGCAGCGCCGGTCCCAGTCATCAGTCACTCGGCCGCCATAGTTGATCTCCCCAGCCGTGTACTTCAGCACCTGCGACGGACCCCGCCATGACCCATGTGTGCACCACGAGCCTGTGCCCTCACAGGAGGGGTGACTCATGCTCTTACCTTGTAGGGGATGTCTGTGTATTCACCCAAGAACATCTGCAGCTGACTGATGCAGATGCGGAGGTCTCCGTCTGTGAACTCATAGGGGATGTTGAACCCCAGAGGCCCGAACTTTCTCCTCTCCAGCATGTTCCCATGGAAGAAGCAAAGTGACAGCAACAAGGATTTAAACTCTGTGACCTACGGGCAGGCAAGCAGGGAGAGGAGTTACTCAGCTTAGGAAGAGCTTTGGATGGGGTCAGTTCCTGTTGGGACCTGGCAGGAGATGTTCCAAATCAGCAGTGCCAGCTGGGAGGGGGAAACCTCAGTCAGGCTGCTGTGCTGGGGAAGGTCATGGCTCACACCTTGCCTAAAGAGAGCTGCAAGTGCCTTACACCAGGCCTCCACAATTCTATTGCTTCTGTTGCTCAAAGTAAAGCTTCTAAGTGGCTTATCACAGAGTAGATGTGAGTTTATGAGAAGTATCTCCAGCCCTTCTCTAGCACATGGATGCTCTAATGGGGAGGAAGATCTGTACCTGGAGAGGAGCAACATCCAAGTGGAGAGCATACACTGAAGCATGCACAGAATGGGGGCAGCAAACCAAAGCATGACCTGGGTCTTACCTTGGGACAAGAATTCAAGAAGTCATCACTGAAACTAATGTAAGACTTGAGCAGGTTGGCCTTGACCCCACGGGGGGGCTCGATGGTGATCTTGGAGCCATTCTGGAGAATAGACACAGGGAAGTGGTTGCTCGGTAGACTAGTGAGCCAGAGGCGAAAGTCCGGATGTACCTGCAAGTCCAGGAGGCAGAAGTGCTGAGAGGGTGCAGACACAGCCCCTGTAGCTGCTCCTGCACTGACCCTCTGGTTCTATGGGGAACCTGTGAATGGGACTGAACTAGATCTGGCTGCCTTGGAGCTCCAGCCTCCCACCTGTCATCCTCAGAGTGAGCACCTGCTCAGAAAAACAGCTTACCTTGTGGGGGTCAATGCCCTCAATGAGTCTCTCCAGTGAAGACATCCAGCTGGGGGCCAGGTGGCAGTTCTGGAAGAAGACCCAGTTGCCCAGCTCCATGGCACTGTGCAACATGGCTTCAGCATGGGGGCCCTGCAGAGGCAGAGAGGAATAGCTCAGAGACCCTGGCCCTTGGCAGGCTGTGCCCTGCTGAGGTGGACAGGGAGGAAGCTGCTGGGTGGAGGGACCACTGTCCAGAGCTACAGCCTGGCTTTGTCCCCATGGCTCAACTGGATTGTTGTTGTCTGATGGCACAGGAAAGGCCTTTTTACAACTTTTACAAGCCTGTGAGGGAGGTTAGAGACAATGGAAGATCTGTGGATGGATTTGGGAAGTTAGAGGGCTGTGCAAGTTGGGAAGTGGGAGCTGCTGGAGCCTCCATGCCAAACTGGCTCCTCGTGCTAGCCGAAGGTTTGTGAGTAAGGGCTCTGAGGCAAGAGGGTGTTTTCACCATGCTCCAAGGGTATTTGACCTACTTGGAACTTGATAAGATCACTGGGAGTGGCAGCTGCTCCAAGTGGGCACCAGGAGCTTACCTGTCCTTGGCCCAGAGAAATGGCAGAGAGCTTTTGGGAGAAGTTCATCTCTTCAGCAAACTTGTAGAGGTCAGCAGCAGGGTCAGTGCCTGGGGACAGCACAAACACTAGGGGTGTGGTGGCACTGGACTCCTTGAAGATGACCGAGAGGTCAGTGGTCTGCAACACAGAAGGTTGGTCAGGGCAGAGGGGCCACAGTGACACCACTCAGCACCTCCTCACCCTGCCTGGCCTCCAGCTCCCCTCCAAGGCACCAGCGTGTTCTCAGGTGCCAAGGCCAGAAACATGTTCAATAAGGCTCAAACAGAACTCTCCTCTGGCTGCATTAGGGTCAGGGCAGGAACCACTTTCCCATTTGTCATTCAAAATTTTCCCTTGTACATCCGCATTGTCTGTCCCCTCCCGGTGTGGGAGGTGAACATTAGGAAGGATAGATAGGTGTTTTCCCAGCTGCGGGAACACTGTGGCTGCAGAGAGGCACAAGTGGCCTCACTGCAATTGCAAAATACTGATGGCCATTTACCACAAGCTTGAGGCCTCCTGCTGCACTCCTGTCCTCACCAGTGCTTCCTTTTGGCTGGTTACCTGTGGCTCAATGAAGCGCTGGTCCAGGTTCAGCACCACAAAGTCCTGCATGGCGTTGGTGATCTTATCTCCCCGCAGACACCGCAGAACCAGCAGCTTCTGGAAAGCATCAAGCTCAGCTTCCCACTTCCCAGGCAGGGGCTCTCTGCAAAGTAATTGGGTGCATTTGTGGGGCATGTGCCAGATCCTGCAGCTCCTTGGCATGAACCCTCATTGCCTGCAGGCAGGCACTGGGGCTTCAGAAAGGACAAGGACCTTTCAGTCCCTTGGTTGAGGTTGTTGTCTGTAGCTCTGAAACCATCAGCAGGCAAGCCAGAGCTGCTTCCACTGGGGAAGCACCAAATACTGCTGGAGTAAGGCACTGTGAGACTGCCTTGGGCAAATAAGGGCCACCCCGAGAAGACAAGGCAGTGCTTCATCCTCTCCCTTGTGTGGCACTGCACTGGGAGCAGAGCTGGCACTGTGGCTGTATTGGCTCCTCTTGCTCTCCCAGGGATGCCATTACCTGCCAGGTGCAGTACAGCTGAGCTGACAAAGTAGGGGACACTTGCCTGTGAGGCTTGGGGCTGTCAAAAATGGCCCTGAATCCTACAAGGTTGGCTGCAAAATCATCAGCAAAACCAGAGAAATTCTTCAGGCTGCTCAAGGCCAGGATGTCTCCCCATGCTCTCTCGTTCAGCCAGGCTGGAGCCGGGTTCTCCCTCATCTCCTTTACGGTTCCTCCTGACAGCAGGTACTGCCACTCATCCTGGGAACAGGAGAGGACATGGTCATGGATTATGGCCTTCCTCCCTGAGCTGAAGGCATGTGGGTTTGTGCCATATCCAGTTAAAACCCTGTAGTATTTTTTTGGGTGCTCTCCTGCCAGATGCATGTGTATTAAAACCCTGTAGTATCTTTCTGGGTGCTCTCCTGCCAGATGCATGTGTCCAAGAGTAAGTGAACTGGAGGGTCTAGTGAGATCAACATAGTGACTGTTCAGCTGCCACTCTGCTAACTCCTGTCTGCTCCCTCTGAGCTTGCTAACCTTTGCAGCAGTTTGGCAGCAAACTGGCAAAAGCCACAGATTATTCAGGTGAGGCAGCTCTGCATGTAGACATAGGGAGCAGTTTGAGAGCTGAGTGAAGACAAAGGCCCTGCATTTGCCCACCAAACTGCCAAGCCTGGCCTCAGCCCCAGATAACAAGGCTCCTTTTCCACCCAATACACTGCTGTAGGGGCTGAACAGGCTTTTGACATCAAAGTACCAAGGTGACCTGCTTACCATATCAATCTGCCCATCATTCATCAGAATCCGGATGGAAACCAGAAAGGCAAACATGAGCTTGTGCTTCTCAAAGAGGCTACGGCACACATTGCAGTAGAGACTGAAGGTGATGTAGTTGTTGATGTTCATGACTCGGTCCTTCAGCATGTCTGAAAAAAGGCAACAACCAGACAAGGGTGGTGGGTGCCAGGGGTGGGTGCTCTCCACATCAGCTATCGGTTCCAGGGTACAACCACACCCTGCCCAGGAAGAACAGATGCTGCTCTCAAACATGGACTTGGTGCAGAAGCCTCAGTGAAAGCACAAGGCTGTGAGTTGGTGCCCCAGCACCAAGAGGGAGCACATGCTGCACCACGGCAGCTGCATGGGCCCAGCCACCACTCGCCTGGCTGACACATGGTGCTGGGTGGGGAAAGCTGCCTCCAGGGCCTGTGCCGGAGGCAGCTCTGTGACAAGCAGAGTCACACCATAACCAGGATGGTGTGTACCTTGCCTGTCTGGTAAGGCAGCAGCAAAGTGGTGGGGGATAGAACAGAGAGTGGGCAGTGACATCTTCCCTGGCTGTGTGGACACAAACAGGGGCAGCTCTGGACCATGCTGAGAGCCAACACATGTGGTCACATTTGCCTTGACTCTGCAAGTGTCTGAGCTTATGCTGCTGCTAAACCAGGAAATTGGGGTGAGGGAGAAGACAGAAGGGGGCAGTTCTGGGGGCAGGCACCTGCTTTCTCGGAGTTACGGATCCCCATTTGGAAGATGTTGAGGAACCACTCGAGTGAGTACTGGTACATGGGGTCCACATTGGACAGGTCTGAGACGCAGAAGTAGAGGATCCGTGAGCGGACAGCCACAGGCATATACTCCAGGCGAGTGCTGTTGATGTCCTTCTCTGTCTGCTCTGCCACCATCACCTTAGCCTGGAGGACAGAAGAGACAACATGTTAGTGCAGTGCTGGCAGGGGATGTACAGCTGCAGGGGGAGAGCAGCTCCACCTCTGACCTGGATCTCTCCTGCCTTCAGCTTGGACGCCTCCAACACTTTGATGAGCTCCAAGTCATCTACAGGATTTCCTTCAGCAGTGCTGAGCCGATACAGGATCTGGTCTTCTAGCTCCTTCAGCTCCTGATGCATCTTGGCATTGCTAACAATTAGCTGGTTTCTATCTTCTTCTAAGTCAGGCCGCTCTGCAGCCACCACTTCTCCCAGCAGTTGGTCTTCCAAGCCACTAGAACAAAAGCCATGGAGGTGAGGGCGGGGGAAACAGGCCTGAGGGTCTGAGGACTGTGTGGAATGAGGCTGAGCAGCATGAGCAGCTACTGGGGCAAGCAGGTACCTGGGAGAGAGGGTGAAGTTGATGAGGGTGAGCTTCGTGGAGACCTCAGGGCTGTAGTGAGGGTTGGGCAGGTTTGTGGTGATGTACATCTTGAAATCATCATGGTAGGGGATCACTGAATCCCCCAGCTTCAGCACAGTGTTGCCTTGCTGTTTGTAGGTCTGTACCAGAGAGGGGCAAATACAGGAAGGTTGGGATGGCTACCTCTTGTGAGGGAAGGCACCCTGCTGTGCTCTGGGCTCTGCAGTGAGAAGAGAGTCTGAAGGCTCTCTGGACAGGAGCTCAAAGCCACCCAACAGACCTAAAGGCCTGAACCTGAGTACAGCAGCTGTATCCCATGGCCCTGCCTCCTAAGCAAGGATGCCTGTTGGCAGAAGACAAGAGTGTGCAGGAGGCTGCCAACGTGTTGGAGCCCTGGACAAGAGCAGCATCCACATTACGTGCCCACAATCCCACCACATCCCATGGCACCCTGGCCAGATGACCCCTTACAGTCCAGCCCACTGCCCCTCCTTGCCAAGGTGAGACACATGACCTCCTTGAGCAGGACAGGCTCAAGGACTGGATCCAGCTCCTCGCCAACACTCTCCAGCAGGAAGGGCTTCCCAAAGGTAATGGCATTTTCCAGACTGCAGAGGAAGTCCCGGTCGCTCATCTTGGCCACTTCCAGGCTGTTCACCTTCTCCTGAAAGGCAGCAGGGAGGGCAGGGTCACTGGTGTTCTGCCCACTTTCACATCCAGCTCAGGTGCATGGTACACCTCTCACTGGGCTAATTTAGCTCCCTGGAGTGGCAGAAATAATATATTTTCTTACTTGGCTATACTTTGTCTATTTTGGCAAGTTTAACCCATGTCAGCAGGCACTAGAGACAGCTCAATAAGGCAGCAGAAAGGGCAGAGAACATAGAGCCATACCCCTCTGGAGCCTCATGCTGCTAACACAGACCTCATTTGTCTGTAAAGTGAGAGCAGGTGGGTGGGAAAAGCCCTTAGGGAGCAAAACAGGAGCAGCTGCCTGAGCCTTCAAAAGGGTAGTAAGTGCTTCTCTGGAGAAAGAGAAGAGGTGGTGGTCAGTGTTCTCAGCTCTCTGGCAGTAGGGACTGTGCTCGCTAGTCAGGTAATTCCACCCTGATCCTTTTTATCCAAGGGACCTGAAAGAGCATTATGGGAGATGCTAGTGTTGTTCTCTGTGGTGAAGGATGTAAGGCTACCAGAATGCTAGTGGGGAGCCAGAGTGGGAATCTGATGCCTCACTTACTTACAGCAGGGCTCCTCCTGCCCTGTGATGATTTCCCCAAGCAATAAGTTAGCTGGGATAAAATGTGGATGTGGACCCTGTCTGGTGCTGGGCTGGGACAGTGCAGGGTCTTGCAGCTCTAGAACCCAAAGTCTGAGGCTCCCCTGCACAGCTCCGAACAGAAAGCTGCTTACTCTATCCTGGCAGACCTGGCTTTCCTCCCCATAGCTCTTACCAGATTCTTGATCCACTTGTTTGCTTGTCCTTGGGGATCTATGTAGTGAGTCCAGCGCAGGGAGAATTGGGTTATTACCCCATTCTCCACAGAGAGTGTGTCGTTGGGTAAACCAGCAATCTAATGGGGTAGAAAAAGGTGTTGGGACATCTGGCAGCAGGCACAGGTAACCAGAGAGAAGCCTTTGCTGCCGCGGCCCCTGAGTGCTCCTACTGGGGTGTACAGGGGATGGTGGTGAGGGTATCTCTGCCAGCAGCTGATCCCAGAGCCAGAGTTCTGCCCACAGCAGCTGCGCCATGGGATGGAGCTGTGCTGCAGGGTCAGGCTTGGGCAGGCTACAGCCAGGGCTTGGCTGGTGTTTGTAAAGGTCAAGGCTGCTGCCCTCATCGCTGCTGCCCAGGTCTTGCTCTTTGTGCAAGGAGCCTGGCGACAATTCCAGCTCTGCAGCATGGAGGTACTTGGTCATTATCCAGTGGTTTGGTTTGGGGCTGTCCTCTGGTACTGGTGATCCTAGTGAGTGGCAAGCTGAGCATTTTAGTGTTTACCTGAGGCACCTTCAGCCTCAAGTGTTTGGCTTTTCTGCAACTTGCCTGCCAGGAGCGGATTTCCACAGGGTCTCCAAGGGTGCTGATGAGGTTTGGCTCCTTGCTGTGAGGAATATTGTTTTCTGACAGCTTCGTCAGCCACTCCTGGCACAGTGCTACACGATAGTGCCCCTGCCAGGAGAAACACCATCATAGCCTTACTTTTAGTTGCAGGTAATCTGCTGCAAGCATCTAAACTCTCCCCTTCCCATTCAAATGGGGCCTGTGCAGTCTCTGGCACAAATGCAGAAAGATCTAGGAGGATCACACTTGTGTCCTATTTCTTTCTCCCTGCAGATCTGGCCAGGACAGCAGAGCAGATAAATGAATCCCTGACAGGAAGCACTCCACACATACTGTGAAAGGGCCCAGGTAGGCCACAAAGCCAGCTGCAACCAGCACATCCCCATTGATGTTGTTGATCTTGTCATCCAGGCTCTCCACGGTGTCCTGCCAGCGCACCTTCTCATCAGACAGGCTGTTTATGAGCTGTGGGATAAATTGCACACATGAGAGCTGCTGAGTGGTCTAACCTTGTGTCTCAGACCTGCTGCTCTCTGAGTAATGCTGCAGGTGACTTTGGTGACCAGAGGTTGGGGTGGCCCCTGCCATATCCTGAATCCTGTCCCCAGCTTTGAGCACTTAATCCTGAGATTACTAGGCTGTTCTCAGGTGTCCCGGAGACACGTTTGGCTGAAGAAGCTGTGCACAGCAGCTTTTCATATTGGTGCCTGGCTAGCTTAGCTTCCTAGTCTCATTGTGCTGCTGAGATCTGGCCAGGCAGCTTCAACCCAGGATTGTTGTGAGCTGCAGGCATGTGGATGTTTTCACCACTGCGCTGCTTGATCTGAAATCAGGTTGTCTCATGTAAGCAGGTAGAACCCAACTCTGTCCCTTACCACGCCAGCACGGCCCAGTCGCTGCTGACACTGCTCACACTTCATCTCCAGCTCCTCCTTCTTGGCTCTGCAGGTCTCATACTTCTCTTGTAGCAAGGCAATGCCACCTTCAGCCTCCTTCAGGCGCTTCTTAGCTTCCTCAAGGACCTGCTGAGTGACACGCAGGTCCTCTTCTGCCACCCGCAAGGCTTGCTGGGGAGATGCACAAGGAAACAGTGGGCATGTTGAGCATGTGGTCAGGCTCTTCCCCCAAAAGCCCAACAAGACACCTTGGAGCAAAGAGTTGGTTTTCCAAAAAAGCAATAGCTGATATTGAGATCCTTTCCTGGATGTAACTCCAGGGAACTCTTCTGCAAGGCCAGGAATAAAAGTAGGGGTGAGGAGGGTATTTCTGCATAGCTGCATAAAGCCAAGAACCTGTGCCAGCTTACACAAGCTCAGGGTGTGGCCCACTGGTGAACAGCAGGAAAGGTTCCTCTGCTTGCTCCAAACTTATAGTAAGGCTTGGAGAGGATTATGGCTGAAACAGTAGTGAGACGTGGGAATGTTTCTGCAAGTACAGCTTGTGCTGAGTCAGGAACTCAGCACTAAGAACAAGGTATTCTGTCCCAGCATATTCTAGGCTGATTTCTTCTACTTTATCATGTTAATGGGTTTTGAGGCTTTGGCTCTGCTAAGGCTTGGTCTGAACACCATGTCCTGACCTGCAGAACGTGGTGATTCCCAGCATCTCCTGCAGATGTGAGCTATTAGTACTGTGCTCCCTTTACTGTGACCTAAAGCAACTGGGTCATGCAGCCTCTTACCCGCTTGGGCTCCACGGCCTTGGACACAAAATGGTACTTGTGCATGGCACGCACCCACTGGCAGATAGAGGTACAGGCTTTGGAGACCTTGGCAATGGCAGCTGGCTGAAACTCCTCACTGTCAATGTAGGGCTGGATGGCCCTGATCACACTGTCTGCAATATTGTCCTGTAAGGAATCATGGGAAAGAAAGGAGATGAGTGATGAGCATGCTAGAGATCTGACTGAGGAAGAACTCAAAGGGCTTCCTCCGGTGGCAGCAGCCTGCCCCAGGACTTGACAGAGTGGTTAAGACATCACACTGGAGCAAGAGGAATCAAATTGTTGCACGTTGAGGTGTGTGAGGCACAGCTGTGGGATTGGGTAAATCCCTTTCCATACCGTATTCATCCAGTCCCTCCACATGAAAGAGCAGAGGGACAGAAGGGGAAGACCTGTGTGTCTGGGTTCCATTGCCCAAGGCAATAAACTGCATCCAGCTGACATGAGGACTTCCAAGCCAAACACACCCTCATCCTCAGTGTTGCTGAAGGGTGTTGCCCTCTAAGCTTTATTGCTGTGAGAAGAACCTCTGTGAGGCAATACCAGATCCCAGTCACAGCCTCCTTCTGCCATCACTTACCTTATCGTAAGAAGTCAGGATGTGCAGGAACTGTGCTGGGTCCTGGAGAAGGGCCCTGCCTGGCTCCCAGTAGTCATCCACCTTGGTGCCTATCTTTTCTCCTGCCACCTTTTTGGGCTTTATTCCTTTCATAATGCAGACAGCTTCAATCACCATCTTCACACCAAGGGGAGGCCGCTGCATTGCTCGTACCTTCAAAACCCAAATGGAAACAGTGAGTTGACCTAGTTCTCAGTGAAATGGGGTGCTCATCCATCCTTCAGCTGGACCAGGGGAGACTGGGACCAGAGGCAGGATATTTAGGGGAGGTAATACACAGGCAGGAAGGACAGAGGTATTTGAAGGGAAAGCTGTTTATCAGAGAGGGCATGGATCAAACTACAGGTAGGCTGAAAAAAGCCTTCCCTGATGCTCTGATAGGTGTTATTTTACAGGCTGAAAATATCTTGGCAACAGAGCTACATCTGTATGGCCCTGGGGAGAAAGCTGTATGGAAATGGGATGCAGACTGGCTTTCTCCCTTGCTCTGTGGGCTCTCATTTGTCTAGTACCCCATTGTGGCAATGTTGTACCCCATGAGATGGTCTGCAGCACTCGTGGAGGGACTACTTGAGTCTCTCCTCAAGTAGGCACCTAGGAGTGCTGCTGCAGCACCCTTAAGATAGCTGTGGATGTCAGGGCCCTTGAGGATGACTCCTGCTTTTCCCCTTCTAGTGCTGACCATCCTTGCCATGTTCAGTCAGAGATACTCCCAGGCCTTCCCACTGGAAGAGGTCAACAGAGGGACAGACTTTATGACAACGCTGAAGCTGATCTACCCCCATGCAGACACCCTCTGTGAGAGGGACTTTGACTGGCTCTTTGATTGCCCTGGGACAAAGCAGTTCCTTGAGTGGTTCTGCAGCACAGTGAGCAAGGAGAACGGGCTGAGCCCAGCCGAGCTGGAGGAGGCCTATGATGCCCTGCTGGCTGCAAGTAAACCCATCCTGGAAGGTGATGCCCTTAGGCAGGCATTGCAGACATGCTGCCAGTTCCCAAGACTGATACCAGATGATGAAAGTCCCTCTCTGGAGGCCTTGAAGGAGGAGCTTCGGGACTATCATGACCTTCAGGTCTGGCGGTACAACAAGCTGATGCTTTGCACAGACAACCTGAAGCAGAAGCTGAGGTATTTGGAGAAGGAGGAGAAAGTGGTGAAGGAGGACTTGAAGATGGCTCAGAGGAATCTGGCAGCAAAGATCTACCAGACCAGAGCTGTCTTGAGCCAAGTCAGCAAGACTGAAAATAAGCTGACAGAATGTCATGGGGACAAGGGGAAAGGCCAGCTGCCGACACTGCTGTGTCAGATGGATCTTGGCCCTTACATGGAGCTAGAACAACAGGCCACTGAGGCATTTGAGAGGTTCACTGAGCAGGTCCTACCAGGGAATGTCCAAGCTCCAGATACTTGGGAGGCAAGTGCACAGGGAGAGAGCAGCCTGAAGGAAGATCGGGGGGCTGGGACACAGATGGGCTTGCACTGGGAAACACGAGAAGGAAGAAGAGAGGCTCCTTATCAAGAGTGCAGAAAGACACCATGGGGGGTGGCACCAGCAAGTCAGGGAATACCAGTCCAAGGATCAAGGGCAGAGCTGCTAGTGAAAGGGAGGAACGGGAGAGAGGTGTTGAGCATGGAGGGTGAGGAGGAGAGAGATGGCAGCCAGAGTGAGTGGACACCAGAGAGAGAATTCACAGAGAGAATGGACACCAAGCAAACATCAATGCCTTGGGTCTGATGGAGATGAGCTACTGGAGGACCAAGACAGCTACTGGAAGGAGCTAAGCCAAATAGAGAAAGCACATATCTGTGCCCGGAGGGAGGTTATAGTCATGTCAGCAAAAGTGGAAGGCAACCGTGCTGCGCTGGAGTGGGACCAGAGGACTCTGGAAGCTCTCAAGGATAACCAGGTAGGGCCAGTGCCCCCATTCCTCCACCATCCTTTGTGGTAGGGTCTGCCTGTGCTGCAGGCAGTCCTTCCTGGTGACACATCAGGAGCAGGTGGCAGAGCCAGGCATTGCCTGACACCAGCCTCTCTGGTCTCTCCCCTGAACAGCCTGCAGTCAGGGCAGAGCTCCGGGGCCAGGCTGACCTGCTTCAGAAGCAGCTCCATGCCCTGCGCTGCGACATCATGCAGACTCTGACCCACCAGCTGCCGCCCCTGCTGAAGGCAGAGGTTTGCCGTGCTTGCCTGCCCATCCTGCACAGGCAGCTCAGCCTGGAAGATGCCCATCTCCAGCATATTGCTGGGAAGCAGAAGGAGGCAGCTGCATGGCTGGTGAGCCAACACAGCCCCCTGGATCTGCTGGAGCTCCAGCTGATATGGGAAAGAAAGGAGTTGGAACACAAGACCGTTTGGCTGGGGGAGGTTGAAACTATCATGAGGGAACTCTAGAAGCAGCAGAACTACTTTGAAGATGATAGTTCTTCCCAGAAGGCTCATCCATGCAAATGGATAGACCCCAAAGACTTCACTACTGTACGGTAAGGGCTGGTGGGTTGTGTGTGCATGAGGAACAAACTAGATGGGGAGGAGGTGGCATGGGAATGGCAGAGGCAGGCAGCAGACCCAAGGTAACAGGCAGTCTAGCAGTGCTCCTCTGCCAGTGCAGAGCCACTCTGACTCCATGGTGGTGTGAAATTCCTCAGAAGACAGCATCTTCTAGCTAGCATCTCCCTAGCAGGCTAGTACTGGTGCAGTGGAGTATGGGCTTGGAGAAGGGAATAAGAATGGAGAACAGAAGTTTTTCTAAGATGTTAAGGTGGAGAGTGTAGAGGCAAAACTTTAGCCATGGAGAAGGAGAGCTGGGCCACAAGGAAGCACAGGCTGCTTGGAGCAAGACCTTTCTTTAGCTGGATGCCCTGCATTGACAGGGACTTCTCAGTCTTCCCCACACAGTTCTGGAGTAGCTGGTGCTAGTGTCTGTCAGAAAGGAGTCCCAGACTGGCTCTTGTGCCAGCCTGGTCCTTTATGGTGCTCTTCCCAGAGATCTACAACATGGGCTTCTGCTCACTAGGAGTAGCTGTCTTCTCATTGTTGAACCACATCTGCATGCACATCTCACAGCACACAATGACCTCTGAGCCCTGTTCTTCCTCAGCACTGGCACTGTACTCACACCTCTGGCTGGGTATCCCCTCTTGCAGGCTCTGGGACATGCTGATGGGGCAAGACCAGAAGCAGTCCTTACGCAGTTATGAGGCCTTAGCAGCCCGATGTTCCCAGCTGGTTCAGGACTATACAGGGCACTGGAAGCCCAGCTGGCAGCTCCTATGCCCGAGGTGCATACCCTGGAGTCTTCCACAGAGGTGCTCTACCGAATACTGTACAACAGCTCCAACCAGCTGCAGCTCTCCTCATCGGTAAGCAAGGGATCCTGCTCCCTTGGGCCTTGCTGGGTGGCACAGGGATGGGAGTCAGAGCTCTCTGACATCCTCTGTGGGTGCAGTGGGGAGAAGTCACTGCCTTTCAGCTCGCAGAGGAAGAGGAGGTTGGCCTGATCCTTGCATTGTCTCAAAAAAACTACCTAGTGAGGCAGTGGCTGGCTGAGAGACAATGGTGATTCTCACTGTCTCTCACATATGCTGTTAAGTGTTGAGGTCAGGGTGCCTTAGCCAAGGTGTCCCAGTAAGCTACCTCTGTTCTTTGGACTGGGAGTGATTGGAGGCCAGAGCTGGGTGGATAGTTTGCTTCTTGTGGGCTGAGCTGTTCCACAGGTGTGAAAAAAGCCTCTTTCTGCATGCTCACATGAGTTTGGGCTCTGCCCCTCAGGAGACCACCAACCTGATGCATAAACTGATCACCATGCAGGACAGCCTGCACGAAATGCTGGTGGACCTCCTGAGTGACTTGGAGGTCAAGCGCAGATCTCTGGAGAACCCCATACTGCAGACAGGGTGCAACCTGTATGCATATTTTTACTGCAATGAGGATCAGCTGAGAAGAGGTGGTGGAGGAGCTGGAGAAGCAGGCATCAGCTTCCTCCAAGGGAGCGCTGATGGAGCTGCCATATGCAGAGGAGTAGGTCAGAGCGGTGCTCATTCCCTGCCATAGAAGTGGTGTCCTCTTCTGGCTGGGGTGGGTCATTAATTCTGCACTGGGAGAGAACTGTGGTGGTCTCTTGCTCCAGTGACAGGTTACTTGAGTCATGGCCAAGCAGCTGGGTTTAAAAGAAGCAGGAAGCTTATTCCTTAAATATAGAGTTTCCCAAAGCTGATGTGTAAGAAATTGATGCATCTTGTTTCACTGGAAGCCTTGACCAGACAAAACATTTGTCATACCACATCTACAAGAGGAGGGGTGCTGGGGTTAAGTGGACTGACACTGACTGTGTCTTTCCCCACCTCCTGGGGAAAGGAGTTTTGTATGTTTTGTGGGCCATAAAAAGGTCTGTTATTCATGACTGCAGAGCGCTAACTCTGTCCCTGTGCAGTGAAATCTTGTGCTTACTGAGTGTGCTCTCTTGGCTGTGGGCTGTGACACTTGCCAGGCTTGGAATCACCTTTCTCTCACTATCCTTTTTCAAGCCAGTGTTTCTTGAAGTCAGCCCACCAGCCACTGCCTCTTTGTGGTGGGTCACCTGTCAAAGAGCCTGCAGGTTCAGCATGCTGCTAGTTCTGTCCCTGTGCTGCACAGTCAGCACTTGGGGTTGCATGGTGGTACCTGCTGCCTACCCACATGGACAGGCACCATGGGATGAGCCCTCCTCAACACCCTCTCCAGGACAAGTTGGAAACACCCAGGAGCCAGTTACTGCCTCTCTGCCCTTCAATTGTATCTGAAAGAGTAAAGCTGAGAAGCTGCATGGGCAGCTGCCCAGACGGAGCCCAGGGGGATGGATGGAGATACTGGAAAAGGCTGGGGATGTTGCAAGGCTACAGAAAGAGAATTTCTGCAAAGTGAGAGGCTGTCCTTGATCAGACCCAGCCTTGCCACCCTCTCCCTTGACGCACTTACCTCTGTAACATCATTTCTGTTGAGGCTCTTCAGGCTGGCAAGAGCAGCATTCAGGGCTGGGAGGGCTTCATCCAAGTCCTTCTGAGCATCATCTGCAATGGCTTGGGCTGTCTGAGATTTCTCTTTGGCCTTCATCTCCTCAGCCAGCACAGCACTTCTGGTCTCTTCGGCCACAGCTGTGTCCACCTGCGCAACACCAGAGACAGCCTCAGAAGCAAGCTGAAGGCAGAGCACCCCTTGGCTTGGCTTGGCATTGCAAGGTAAGGATCATAGCTGTCCTGTGTGGTTTGGGCTGAAGCAGAGTGTCACTTCTGATTCTCCCCCCGATCCTGCTGGACCAAACAGCACCAGTGGCTGTGTGGTGTTTGGTGACTGTCTGGGGTTAAACCATGACATCCTGGCAGCTTGTGTGTCTTCCAGGAGACGGCTGGGACCTAACTGCTGGAGTTAATGCTCTTCCCACATCATACAATCATCGAATCATACTGGGAGATGGCTTTTGGTCAGCCTGTAGAGACCATCCACAAGCTCCAACTCTGTGCCTGGAATTAGCTGCTCTACCCATTTTCCTGTTGGCACGAGGAGAGGATGCATAGGGGTACAAATTCGTAGGGAGATGGAGTAATAAGAAG